CCCTCGCTCACTCCTCTATTACAGGCCCTTACTCCTCCTTCACCAATAATACATGTGTCAAAACAACATTGAAGATCTGGAATCAATTTAGGCGCCACTTTGGGTTTCAAACAACCTCTTCCTTGGCTCCGGTAGCCTCAAACCCAGCTTTTCCCCCATCTATGATTGATGGTGCTTTCTCAACATGGTCTAATCTCGGTATTAAAAGATTCAGAGATCTGTATACTAACAATACATTTAGTACGTTTCAACAACTATCAGCTAAATTTGGTCTCCCCAGACATCATTTTTTTAGATTCTTACAAGTCCGGAGTTACATCCGCAGCATAGATCCAGGATTCCCCAACCTTTCTAGTGGAACACAGTTCGACACATTTCTCACCCCACTTCCTAATCAGAAAGGCACAATGTCAATAATCTATAGTCAAATTTGCTCACTACAAGCCATCTCATTAAACAATATCAAATCCTCTTGGGAGGAGGAACTGGGTGAGGAAATATCTGATGAACTATGGGAAGGGGCACTCAAAAGGGTACATAGCTCTTCTATTTGCGCTCGACACGGCCTCATCCAATGCAAACTCATTCATAGGGCCCACTGGACCAAAGCAAGACTATCAAAAATTTACAAAGATGTGAACCCTAATTGTGTTCGATGTAACCAGTCCCCTGCTAATCATGTGCACATGTTTTGGTGCTGCCCATCTCTTGTTGGTTTCTGGAAAGACATCTTTAACACACTCTCAGAATTAAGCGGCACACAGATCGAGCCAGACCCTCTCATTGCATTATTTGGAGTTTCCTTACCCACAATACAATTGACCAAAATGAATAAGGATGTAATTGCCTTTGTCACGTTGTTAGCGAGACGATTAATTTTACTTAGATGGAAATCCTCTGCAGCCCCTTCTCATGCTCTTTGGATTAAATCTATTTTGAATTGCATAAAGTTGGAGAAAATAAAACAGACACTCAATGGGTCTGTAGACAAATTTTATGCAAAGTGGGCTCCCTTCTTTTCTTATGTCAAAAGAATACATTTCCCTGCAGTTCCAGAGTGATGTATATTTATATATTGGTGATGTAAGAAGCCTGGTATGTGCATATACGACATCTCGGATGTTAAGGACGGTAATAACTGTGCTAGCTGACCTATAACAACTGGATCAAAACAGATATTCTTCCTTTTTTTTTTTTTTTTGTGTTTTATCTTATTTATGTACTTAATGTCTATTTTTTCTTTCATGTCTGTCTCTCCATGTTTTGCTGTATCGTTGTCTTCAAATTGTTGTTCCATATTCATACCAAATAACTTTCAAGTGCAATTATTTACTAAATGCTGGTACTGAAAATTCAATAAACAAAGTATATAAAAAAAAAAAAAAAAAAAGAAAATCATAGGTCTCCTCCAGGAGACCTCCTCCGGGATACCGTCTTCTGGGCTCCGGGGTCTTGCTGTATCCTATCAGTGCGACTTAGGGCATCCGCATTCCCATGCTTTGCCCCAGACCTGTGCACAACAGAAAAAGAGAAGCATTGAAGGGACAAGAACCAACTGGTGACCCGATCGTTTGTGTCCTTTCCCCTGGCCATCCAGACCAGGGGAGCATGGTCTGTGACCAGGGTGAAGTGGGTGCCCAACAGGTAATACTTGAGTGTCTAGCGCCCACTTCACCGCTAGGCACTCTTTCTCGACAATCAAGTACTTTTTTTCTCTGGGTATCAGCTTATGTAAATGATGGGGTGCTCCTCCCCATCGTTATGTACATGATGGGGTGCTCCTCCCCATCGTTATGTACATGATGGGGTGCTCCTCCCCATCGTTTATCTGGGACAGGACATCCCCTAGTCCCGTGTCGCATGCGTCTGTCTGGACCAACATCGGTACCTGGAAATCGGGTGTTACGAGAATCGGATGGGAGCACAGCGCTTCCTTCAGGCGCCGCGTCGGTCTCGCCAGTCCATTTCACTGTTTTCGGGTGGCGGGCCCTGGTTAGAGCGGTAAGGGGGGGAGTCGTCGGCCACGAACCTCCAGTCGTGGACCAGTTGGGCCCGATGGGCCAGGCTGTACCCGTAGCGGCTGAGTATCTCCCTTGAGACCGTCATAGTTAGCCGCCTGTTCGTCGTTAAGGTCCCAAATGCCTTTTGGGCGTTCCCGGAAAGGAACGGGGGACAGCAGACTTGCCCACTTCAGCCTTGGCCATCTTTCCCGTAGCGCGGTCTGTTCAAACGTGCAGAGGTATGTTTCGATGTCGTCATCCTCCGTTAGCTTGATTAAAAACTGGTTTGGATGCGATTCAGTAGGCGCTCCTCCTTGTAGCTTCCTGATTTCCTCAACGAGGCGGACATTTTGTAGTCGCTGCTCCTCCAGCGTTCGTTTCTGAACCGCCTGTTGTGCTTGTTGGGCCCGGACGAACTGAGCTATCAACTCGTCCATGCTGATGCTGCGTAAACGTCAACCCTGATCTGACCACGTTATCAGAATGCCCGCATTCTCCACCACTTGTGGCAGACCAGGGGTTTGGTCAAGACGTTTACACAGATCAGACACGGACAGAATTGTATTAGCTCGGATTCAAGGGTGTTTATTTAAATAATAAACAAAGAGAAAATCATAGGTCTCCTCCAGGAGACCTCCTCCGGGATACTGTCTTCTGGGCTCCGGGATCTTGCTGTATCCTGTGGGGAACAAAACCAAGCTCCCTCCGTTATCTCTGGTACTGCACACAACTGTACGGCAGTAACCTCTCGTCCCCACTCCTGTGTGCTGCCCTCCTGGCAGCTTTATGGGACTCGTCCAGCTGGTGAGCAATCAGCCCCTTGATTACTCACCAACCACAATCAGCCCCAATTAGTCCTGGCCCGAGAGCCAGTCTAGACCTGGCACGTCCAGCAGAGGGAGCCATCGCCACGTGATGTAGACTCCGTCTGTCACCAGGCCTTGATGAGTCTCCACCTGCTGGCTAACCTGCTGAACGCCAAAATAGTGTATTTTCAAAAAATTTAGTTTTCTTTTTGTTGCTTCAGGGCAACATTGTGCAGTTAGGCAACCCTTTTTTGTTGCCTCAGGACAATGTTGTGCAGTTAGGCTACTTTTCAGGGCAATATCATGCTAAATGAAAGATATGTAAAATGATGGCCTTGGTCAATGTTTTTGCCAACATATCCACTAACATTCACAGGCAATGGACACAGGGATATTCTATGGGTGAAAGTAGCCAAATGGAGCAGTTAGGATCATACCCTCTGATAGTGAGTAAAGTGAGCTTTAGGACAGTGACGGCGAGGAAGAATGGGCCACAGATTCAGTTTGAGAGGCAGTGAAATACTAGTTTATGCCCAATTTGTATTTTCTTTTGAAAATAGTGCTATATTTCACACAAAAAAGGTTTTGAAAATATCAGATTTTCCTTGGTGTTTTAGTACCCTTATGGCACAGCATTGCCCTGAGGCAACAAAACAAATTCTGAGTGTGGGGGGGTTAAAGTGAATTTTCTTTATTATTGATACATTATCAGAAAGTCTACATGTTCAACAACAAAAAATAGGATGGAATACATTTTTTAAATTAAAAAACAAAATGTGTGCAGTAGAGAGTTAAGCCAACATGGCCAAAATTGGCACAGATTCTGGTAGGCTAATATTATACAAAATTGGTTTGAGCAAGCGTTCAAATAATTTAGCCTATTGGGTAGGCCTAAAAAATGCCAAAAACATACAGGCTATTTCTCACATTTTATACCAATCGTCTTACGTAAACCCCTCATTACAGGCTACTTTTCAACCAAATAGGCCTATGAAAACAACAATTTTAAATGAATAACTTTTAATCCTTTATTATATGGCCAATGTACATACAGTATGTATGTTGATAATCAATCGATAGGCTAGAAAAGTTGATTTTATAGTCTTTATTCAACACATTACAAACACTTACAACAATGACATAAAACTTAAAACAATCATTTTTTGAGGGCAAATGCCTTACAAAACACAAACTTTGGCATGAACATAAAATTACACTGGCTGTTCTTCAGAAACAGCAATACTTATGTCATGATCTGTGTAACAAAGTTACATGTTCATTGATTTCAGGTCATAAATCAATTCCGTGTTTCTTCCTGGAGTATTCATGAGCTATTTAGAATACACAGCAACACACAAAGATGCAGAACATCCATTACAAGTTGTTTATTTAGGATCACATAAATATATCTCTGGATTTGTGGCAATAAAGGTGAAGATTTTGGACAAACATTTTACACATAATAAATAAATAACAAATAAAATGATGGTATACCGACTGATAGTTTTATCTTAGGAAATGTACTGTATGTTAGAAGAAATCATAGTAAATTTTTAAATGAAAAAAATATATGTTTTATCGTTTGGAATTGCTCAAATTGGAGTTCTGGTGAAATATGCTAACAAACAAAAACACAGTGAAGTCAATCCAGGAAATATATCCTCTCCTTGAAGGTCATTGATAACAGTCTTTATTGTGAGCTGTTCTTCCAAAAAGGTACAGGTCAGAGAATTAGGTCTTCCTGTATTTGGTTTAAATGGTTCTTCCAGAGTCATTTGGTGAATATGACTGTGTTGCAGCAAGGGCAATGATAGGTCAGTGTCCAACTTAAATGGTCATGTGGTATTGGTAGTCGTCTCTTTGGGTTATTTGACGTGGAAGACCTTTCTCTGAGGAGATTCCCTAAAGTTCCCATACTTCAAGAGGTCACTTACTGTTGTTCTTCATGATGAGAGGTTGTTTTCCAACATGTTTTTTTCTTTGTTTAAATTTGCAACGTAAAAATAATGACAGGAATCCAACCATTCATACCGTTTTCGTCCTTTTCTTCATTCACTTAACATTTCATAAAAAGAGAAAAAAGAAGTGCTAACGATCCCCTGTTCTTCCTCCCCGTTTCTGTCCCTCCTTCCATTCCCAGGTGTGTGGCTGTCCTGTCTCCTCTTTCTGTCCTTCTTGAGTCCAGACCAGTGGCTCATCTTAGCCCAGCCCCACTCTCCCCCCTCCAGAGGTAGTCCTGTCCAGGGGAGAGAGAATGGTGCTCCCCCCCAAGTACCCGGCCTGTCCTGTCATCTGGGGGGCTCAGCGATGCGAGCGATGCCAGGCTGAGGCGCGGGTCGCTGTTGCTGATCTTGAACAGGCCGCTGGGCCCCAGGAAAGCCTCTCTCTCGCTGGGGAAGTGGTTGATCACCGTCTCCAGGTCATTGAACACCGCCGTGTCGCTCAGTTGCTTCCTACTACGCAGCCGGTGCCGCCGCAGCACCACGATGCCCGCCGCTAGGCCAAGGGCGAGTAACGCCAGGACGCAAGAGGCAGTGAGGGCGGCGGAGGAAGGCTTATTTGTCAGTTGGGGGGCGGGCTGGAAGCTGAGCTGCAGCGTGAACGCACAGCTAGGTCCCATGAAACCCGTCGGACACTGGCACACAGGCCCCGTGAAGTGGGTGAAGCAGGTGCCGCCGTTCTGGCAGGGCTGGGCGCTGGTGCTGCGGCCACAGGCGTCCGAACGCACGCTGCAGTTCTTGCCAGCGTAGCCCAGCGTGCACGAGCAGGTGTAGTCGTCCACGCTGTCCTGGCAGGTTCCAGCATTCTGGCACGGTACTGAGGCACAGTCGTCGATATTGACCTGGCAGTTGGCCCCGGTGAACCCGGAGCGGCAGCGGCATAGCACGCTTTGACCCAGGTCTAGACACTCACCACCTAGAAGACAACATATGACACGGCTCCACTTAGTACACTGCAGCCTACCACATTCTGAAGTAGTACAAGATGGGGTACATGGGATATCACACTGTTGCCACTTCTTAAGTCATGACTTCTGTCTTTATCAAAATAACATGATTCTGTTAACAGACTGTGGGATGCGATGACTAACAAGGAACTTTTGTTCCGGTGCACAGATTTTTCATCACTAATCATTTGGACAAATCACGATTTTGCAGGTGCCCGCAACTTCTGAATTTCAGAAGGGGAGGGGACATTTGGCCCATAGACTTGCCCCAAACAAGCAGAGAGAGGGAGTGGAGCTAGCGCTCCTCGCTCTAGTATCTTTTTAACACATTTACATTTTAGTCATTTAGCAGACACTCTTATCCAGAGCGACTTACAGTTAGTGAGTGCATACATTATATTTTTTTATTTTTTCATACTGGCCCCCCCCCGTGGGAATCGAACCCACAACCCTGGCGTTGCAAACGCCATGCTCTACCAACATCCCCTGCCGGCCATTCCCTCCCCTACCCTGGACGACGCTGGGCCAATTGTGCGCCGCCCCATGGGTCTCCCGGTCGCAGTGTCTGCGATGCAGTGCCTTAGACCACTGCGCCACTCGGGAGATCTCCCCCCAGAATTTAATCAAGCATCTGACGCAATTACGCAAGATTTTAATCCTGGGTTTCCGAGATTAACATTTTATTGACTTTTTCTCCAGGAAGATGTGCTTAGGTTGTGTGCATTGATATACTTTGAAAACATGTATTCATTCATTGTTCAACCAGCCAAGTGCAGTACTTCCAGCAGGTGCAGGTGCATACTTGAACCACTAGATGTCACCAGAACCAAGACAAGCTGCTCTCCATCCACTTTCACCTGCTTCCACCTTTTTTGGGGGAGCTGGTGGACTGTTTTAAGTTCCTGGGCATAACCATCTCGTCCGATCTGACATGGTCAGCCAACACAAATGCCTCTATTTCCTGAGGCAACTGAGGAAGTTTGGCATGAGCACAGGCACTCTAGTCAACTTCTACTGAGTCACAGTGGAGAGCATCCTGGCTGGATCCATCATTGTGTGGTACTAACTGTAAGTCGCTCTGGATAAGAGTGTCTGCCAAATGACTAAAAATGTAAATGTATGGTAAAACCAACACACAAGACCACAAAAGGCTTCAGTGGGTAGTGCTCAATGCAGAGAGAATCATTGGCACTACCCTCCCCTCCATCGAGGCCATCTATGCGGACAGATCCCTCACTAGAGGCCAAAAGACAGTACAGTACCCCAGCCAGTGCACTGTTCTCCCAGCTACCATCTAGGCGGAGATAGAGGAGCATCAAGACCTCCACTACCATCAAGACCTCCACTACCAGGTTCAAGAATAGATTTTATCCCGGTGCAATCCGCCTGTTAAAACAAGCAACCTGCCTGCTGTTTTTATCCTACTTTTGGCACATGAGCACATGAGCACATATGACTGAACTATTTATGATCTTACCACATTTAATTGCTTTTCTATTTATTATCTTTTTACTGTATATGTGTATGTACTGTACTATATCAGAGAGCTCCAACAAATACTTTTAAAGAGTGATTCTGCTTGTGTTTCTCTGTTGTTCATTAAGAAAAACTAGATTTCAGTCTTGGGGGTGTGGTTCAATGTGGCAGTTACTGATATTTGTCCTCCATTAGACATCATAGGAACAAAGCCAGTATTACTTCCTCAAAATAGTCAGAATGAATCTACGATAACTCAAGGAATCTGTCATTAATTTTGACATTTTTGCAGAGGAGGTTTTAGTCATGCAATTTTACAACTAGCTAAGGTGTTTGGTGCAGTATTACTCAAGTAAAAAAATGTGTGACGTGTTGTTTTATGTAAACAAAGTCAGATCCGCTGCATTGATGGGCAGGTCTGTCTCACCGTCTGTGTGTTCTGCTGTAGAATTGGATAGAGAGCAATCACCGCAGCTGTGTATCCTTTGTTAGTGGTCAAGAGAGCATTGTCGAAATCAAAACCCAACCCTCAAGTGAGTCATGACGAACTCACTTGCAAAACTCTGTTTTGGACGAGACTGACTTTATGAACAAAACTATCCTATTTACACTTTGTAGTCAATTTTGACACTATAATAAATGTTTCTGAATAACATCGATGAAACATTGGCTGTTTTCTATCAGATAAGTTGTTTATTGCCTTCAGTTGCACTTTAATACCTGCAAATGTCAAATAAACTACTTGAACTTGATACACTACAGTCAGACTCACCATTCAGACATGGGCTGTTGCTGCAGCGGTCCAGTTTCTTCTCACAGTTGGAGCCGGTGTACGTGGGAGGGCAACGGCAGGTGTAGCCCCCCGTTAGTGTCTCCATGCAGGTGCCCCCATTGAAGCAAGGCCCATCGGCACACGTCATGGCGATGATCTCACAGTTCTTCCCATAGAAGCCCTGGGGGCAGGTGCACGAGTAGTCGTTCTCCAGGTCCTTAAGAGAGAGAGTATTTTCAAGTATTGTTGTTAGAGAGACAACTAGACTGGGCTTTAGCTTTTTACAATCCATAGATGATCCATGATTACTGATCATGTTTCTGACATTGTGTCTTATTTTAACATGTTTATAACTGTAATGTGTTATGTTACACTGCGTTTGTGTCAAGGATACATTTCCATTTTACCCTCAAATGGACAATTAAGTTGGAATAAAAAATTATAAACATGGCATTCCAAGTTAATTAAAATAAAATAAAGTTTGTTTAACACACAATTAAACATGTAAATAAATGACAAGCCAATATTGAACAACCCCTATTTCCTGCAAGCAGTAATATTACTCACATTGCAGCTGCCTCCGTTCTTGCAGGGGTTGCTGTCACACTCGTTGGTCTCCAGCTCACAGTTGGTGCCACTGTAGCCCGGGCGGCAGGTGCAGGTGTAGCTGCCCTGGCCTGTGTTGGTGCAGGTGGCATCGTTGGCACATGGCCGGTGGTTGGTGCAGTAGTTGAGGTCCTGGTCACAGAAGAGGCCACCCCAGCCCTCCTTGCATTCGCACTGCCATGGCTGGCCGCAGGTGCCATGGAGACAACCCGGGTAGCGCACACACTCATTGCACGAGGGCCCCTGCCAGCCCATCCTGCACTTGCAGTCCCCAGGGGCCTCGCAGTAGCCGTGCCTCTCGCTGCAGTCCGCTGAGCAGATGGCTGTAGGGAGGAGGGGGAGGGATGGGGGTGTGGGGGGTTGATTACAATGAATGGGCAGATTGGGCACCCCCCCGCGCTATACATCACAGAACACACACGCACAGACACCCAACCCTGTCTGACCCCACCCCCCCACCCCTCCCAGCCCCATCTCAGACTTCAACTGTTTGTTAAGTATTAAACCAAGCAGCTGGTGAGCACACAACCACAGGAACAGAAGCCAGGTCTTTATTTTCTCCCTCTGCCTCATGCATACCCGTAACACACACAGACACACAGCATCTCCAACATGTGTCCCTGGCAGCCACGGTTCTTTCTCCCTTTGTTACAGGGGAACAAAAGGCAGATTGAACTCCACAAGTCTTCGAACTCCACAAGCAATCAGCAGTTAAAACAATAACAAAGCTACTCCCTGCCACTGTTTCACTAAAATGGAACCACTCTCAAATTCATAGACAGAGCTATGGATGCAAAGACTGACCATCCATGATATCAAAATGATAGTTTTAATCATTTTTTGAGGCGATACAGTGTTTGTTTAGATTTACTTTGTTTGCAAACATTGGAGTAAAACAAAGCTGATATTTTGGTTTCTGATGGGATATGACAGTTGAACTAAGCTCATGAGGCATTTATAAGTTCTATTCTCCAAGAATCAATAGGTACATATCATTAATTTATTTGTCCAAAATGGATGTAGCTACTGCAGATTGCCCCTTTAAGACTCCTGCAATTATGCCTGTGTAAAAGAGTAGATGGCTGGTTAAAGGATTAAAGTGAAATCCTTTGGGGAGATGTCATCTTAATTTAGAAATAACTTGACACAAACATTTTCATAAAACAAGGGTGAATTAAAATGTTGCACATGCTTCATTGTTGGTGTGATTATGTGTAGGCCTATTTGTAATAGTTATTGTGATTAGGCCTGTATGTAATAATTATTGTCACCAATCATTCAGCTCTATATGCTGCCTATATGCTGTCCCTGTGATACCTTTACCTGTAAAAAGTATGAATTGTGTTTTCACCAAGGAGAATGCCAATAAGAACATTAGCCTCATTCATCAATGAATCATTGCCTGCACTGTGCAGTCTATTTACAATAGGCCTATAAAGTGCAATCCGTCCAACTTGACAGCATCTGAGTCTGGACAGTAACGTAGCCTAAAGTCATTGACGTTAACTCGATTGCACTTACGATCAGAACAGTAGTTGCCCTTCCAGCCCTCCAGACAGTGTTTGTTCCCCTCCTCGTCACAGGTGTAGTGGCCCAAAGTGTCGTCGCGGGGTCTGCAGTACTCCGCGCAGCTATCGCCAAAGTAGTACTCGTCACAGAATACGTGGTAGGAGTAGCGCAGCTCGCTCTGCTCTCCGAAGTGGACGTCTTGAGACCAGTCCTCGCCGATGGCCAGTCTTCTTCTGGTGGCCAAGCGGCTGACAAGGTTGTTTTGGTTGTCTGAAATATACAAGAAAATGTGTATTATTATAGTAGCCTATTGACATAGTGAATGTTTGAACTTAGGTAAGCTGTTAAGAAAGGCTATAATATGCCTACTGCAACAACACCTTACCTGTGTATTCTGTAGGGGTTTCTGCGTTCCATGCTTCAATGATCAGCGAAAATGTTCCCTGAAATAGAGGTAAATCCTGGATTAAAGTTTACGCAAGAATGATATACAGTAACATAACATTTATATTTCCATGTCTAACATTTAATATTTATATATAAAAGGTTATTTACCGGCCACTTGAAATGGAACGGTATTCTAATCGGAGCGCTGCTGGAAATCGAGGTCTGATCTGCGCGGATGACGTTGGTGTGTCCCGTTCCAAACGTGCATGGTGGCTCCGCATGGATAACGTCCTCGGAGTGTTTTAGACAAATTCGGAAAAATATGTGGCAGTCCCTATGCCTTCTGCATATGCGGTGGGCAGTATTGAACGAATGGACTTTCAGCTCGAACACACCAGAGGACGATACCTGCCAAGAGAAGAACGAATTGGACATTAGAAATCATATTTAAACTGTGCGTAAAGCAAGGCAATATTGAATGGTTCCTTATTGTTACAATATCGTACTTACCACTTGCATTACAGCCAAAGCCAAGACACATCTAAAAGGTAGTGAGGCCATTTATGACAGTTGTTTGGTTGGTAGCTATACAACAATCGGCAGGTGTATGCATTCGTTGTGTCCAATAGAAGTGTGACGCGTGCTTATTCCCAAAAACTCAAATAGCTAAAGCTGTAGAAAAATATCCTTGCAGTCACACCATAAAATAAGTGTGAAAAGGTATAAAAAGTCCTCGCTCTTCCCTTTTCCCTGGTCGTGGTCTTCACTTGTTTTGGTTATGGTGCTTAATGAGATTGAATAGGTTTTATACCCCTGATGCGCTCCATTCACGCGTCAGGAGGCGGGACAGGGAAAGACCCAAGGGACAACCAGTACATTTGGGATGTGTGTGGATTTGGTGGTGATTCAATTTGTCAGAAAATTTTGAAGGCACAGGGCCTATAATTCGACCATAATCATATTTAAAGCGTGATTGGAACAAGACGATTTTTATACAGTAATACATATAGCCAAATGCCCACTAATTTGGAGATATGTGGGCTAGCTATCCCATGGAAATGGTGTGACTACTGCATCTAAAACTGCATTTTTAGACCTACACTACCATTCAAAAGTTTGGGGTCGCTTAGAAATGTCCTTGTTTTCCATTAAAATAACTGATTGATCAGAAATACAGTGTAGACATTGTTAATGTTGTAAATGGCTATTGTAGCTGGAAACGACTGATTTTTAATAGAATATATACAGTTGAAGTTGGAAGTTTATGTACACCTTAGCCAAATATATTTAAACTCAGTTTTTCACAATTCCTGACATTTAATCCTAGTAGAAATTCCCTGTTTGAGGTCAGTTAGGATCACCACTTTATTTTAAGAATGTGAAATGTCAGAATAATAGTAGAGAGAATGATTTATTTAAGCTTTTATTTATTTCATCACATTCCCAGTGGGTCAGAAGTTTACATACACTCAATTAGTATTTGGTAGCATTGCCTTTAAATTGTTTCACTTGGGTCAAACGTTTTGGGTAGCATTCCACAAGCTTCCCACAGTAGGTTGGGTGAATTTTGGCCCATTCCTCCTGACAGAGCTGGTGTAACTGAGTCAGGTTTGTAGGCCTCCTTGCTCGCACATGCTTTTTCAGTTCTGCCCACAAATGTTCTATAGGATTGAGGTCAGGGCTTTGTGATGGCCACTCCAATACCTTGACTTTGTTGTCCTTAAGCCATTTTGCCACAACTTTGGAAGTATGCTTGGGGTCATTGTGCATTTGGAAGACCCATTTGCGACCAAGCTTTAACTTCCTGACTGATGTCTTGAGATGTTGCTTCAATATATCCACATAAAACCATCTATTTTGTGAAGTGCACCAGTCCCTCCTGCAGCAAAGCACCCCCACAGCATGATGCTGCCACCCCCATGCTTCACGGTTGGGATGGTGTTCTTCGGCTTGCAAGCCTTGCCCTTTTTCCTCCAAACATAACGATGGTCATTACGGCCAAACAGTTATTTTTTGTTTCATCAGACCAGAGGACATTTCTCAAAAAAGTACGATCTTTGTCCCCATGTGCAGTTGCAAACCGTAGTCTGGCTTTTTTATGGCGGTTTTGGAGCAGTGGCTTCTTCCTTGCTGAGCGGCCTTTCAGGTTATGTCGATATAGGACTCGTTTTACTGTGGATATAGATACTTTTGTACCTGTTTCCTCCAGCATCTTCACAAGGTCCTTTGCTGTTGTTCTGGGATTGATTTGCACTTTTCACACCAAAGTACGTTAATCTCTAGGAGACAGAACGCATCTCCTTCCTGAGCGGTATGACGGCTGCGTGGTCCCATGGTGTTTATACTTGCGTACTATTGTTTGTACAAATGAACGTGGTACCGTCAGGCGTTTGGAAATTGCTCCCAAGGATGAACCGGACTTGTGGAGGTCTACAATTTTTTTTCTGAGGTCTTGGCTGATTTCTTTTGATTTTCCCATGATGTCAAGCAAAGAGCCACTGAGTATGAAGGTAGGCCTTGAAATACATCCACAGCTACCCCTCCATTTGACTCAAATTATGTCAATTAGCCTATCAGAAGCTTCTAAAGCCATGACATCATTTTCTGGAATTTTCCAAGCAGTTTAAAGGCACAGTCAACTTAGTGTATGTAAACTTCTGACCCACTGGAATTGTGATACAGTGAATTATAAGTGAAATAATCTGTCTGTAAACAATTGTTGGAAAAATTACTTGTGTCATGCACAAAGTAGATGTCCTAACCGACTTGCCAAAACTATAGTTTGTTAACAAGAAATGTGTGGACTGGTTGAAAAACAAGTTTTAATGACTCCAACCTAAGTGTATGTAAACTTCAGACTTCAACTGTACATAGGTGTACAGAGGCCCATTATCACCAACCATCAGTCCTGTGTTCCAATGGAACATTGTGTTTGCTAATCCAAGTTTATCATTTTAAAAGGCTAATTGATCATTAGAAAACCTGTTTGCAATTATGTTAGCACAGCTGAAAACTGTTGTGCTGATTAAAGAAGCAATAAAACTGGCCTTCTTGAGACTAGTTGAGTATCTGGAGCATCAGCAATTGTGGGTTTGATTACAGGCTCAAAATGGCCAGAAACAAATAACTTTCTTCTGGAACTCGTCAGTCTATTGTTGTTCTGAGAAATGAAGGCTATTCCATGCGAGAAATTGCCAAGAAACTGAAGATCTCGTACAACGCTGTGTACTACTCCCTTCACAGAACAGCGCAAACTGGCTCTAACCAGAATAGAAAGAGGAGTGGGAGGCCCCGGTGCACAAATGAGCAAGAGGACAAATACAGTCGTGGTCAAAAGTTTTGAGAATGACACAAATACTAATTTTCACAAAGTCTGCTGCCTTAGTTTTGATGATGGCAATTTGCATATACTCCAGAATGTCATGAAGAGTGATCAGATGAATTACAATTAATTGCAAAGTCCCTCTTTGCCATGAAAATGAACTTAATCCCCAAAAAACATTTCCACTGCATTTCAGCCCTGCCACAAAAGGACCAGCTTCCATCATGTCAGTGATTCTCTCGTTAACACAGGTGAGAGTGTTGACGAGGACAAGGCTGGAGATCACTCTGTCATGCTAATTGAGTTAGAATAACAGACTGGAAGCTTTAAAAGGAGGGTGGTGCTTGAAATCATTGTTCTCTGTTAACCATGGTTACCTGCAAGGAAACACGTGCTGTCATCATTGCTTTGCACAAAAAGGGCTCACAGGCAAGGATATTGCTGCTAGTAAGAGTGCACCTAAATCAACCATTTATCGGATCATCAAGAACTTCAAGGAGAGAGGTTCAATTGTTGTGAAGAAGGCATCAGGGCGCCCAAGAAAGTCCAGCAAGCGCCAGGACCGTTTCCTAAAGTTGATTTAGCTGCGGGATCGGGGCACCACCAGTGCAGAGCTTGCTCAGGAATGGCAGCAGGCAGGTGTTTGTGCATCTGCACACACTTTTGGAGGATGGCCTGGTGTCAAGAAAGGCAGCAAAGAAGCCACTTCACTCCAGGAAAAACATGAGGGACAGACTGATATTCTGCAAAAGGTACAGGGATTGGACTGCTGAGGACTGGGGTAAAGTCATTTTCTCTGATGAATCCCCTTTCCGATTGTTTGGGGCATCCAGAAAACACCTTGTCTGGAGAAGATAAGGTGAGCGCTACCATCAGTCCTGTGTCATGCCAACAGTAAAGCATCCTGAGACCATTCATGTGTGGGGTTGCTTCTCAGCCAAGGGAGTGGGCTCACTCACAATTTTGCCTAAGAATACAGCCATGAATAAAGAATGGTACCAACACATCCTCCGAGAGCAACTTCTCCCAACCATCCAAGAACAGTTTGGTGACGACCAATGCCTTTTCCAGCATGATGGAGCACCTTGCCATAAGGCAAAAGTGATAACTAAGTGGCTCGGGGAACAAAACATCAACATTTTGGGTCCATGGCCAGGAAACTCCCCAGACCTTAATCCCATTGAGAACTTGTGGTCGATCCTCAAGAGGCGGGTGGACAAACAAAAACCCACAAATTCTGACAAACTCCAAGCATTGATTATGCAAGAATTGGCTGCCATCAGTCAGGATGTGGCCCAGAAGTTAATTGACAGCATGCCAGGGCGGATTGCAGAGGTCTTGAAAAAGAAGGGTCAACAGTGCAAATATTGACTCTTCGCATAAACTTAATGTAATTGTCAATAAAAGCCTTTGACACTTATGGAATGTGCTTGTAATTATTCTTCAGTATACCATAGTAACATCTGACAAAAATATCTCATAACACTGAAGCAGCGAACTTTGTGAAGACCAATACTTGTGTCATTCTCAAACTTTTGACCACGACTGTACATTAGAGTGTCTAGTTTGAGAAACAGGCGCCTCACAGGTCCTCAACTGGTAGCTTCATTAAATAGTACCGGCAAAACACCAGTCTCAACGTCAACAGTGAAGAGGCGACTCCGGGATGCTGACCTTCTAGGAAGAGTTGCAAAGAAAAAGCCATATCTCAGACTGCCATCTTAATCTTTTCTTTTTATTGGCCAGTCTGAGATATGGCTTTTTCTTTGCAACTCTGCCTAGAAGGTCAGCATCCCGGAGTCGCTTCTTCGCTGTTGACATTGAGACTGGTGTTTTGCGGGTACTATTTAATGAACCTGCCAGTTGAGGACCTGTGAGGCGTCTGTTTCTCAAACTAGACACTAATGTATTTGTCCTCTTGCTCAGTTGTGCACCGGGGCCTCCCACTCCTCTTTCTATTCTGGTTAGAGCCAGTTTGCACTGTTCTGTGAAGGGAGTAGTACACAGCGTTGTACGAGATCTTCAGTTTCTTGGCAATTTCTCGCATGGAATAGCCTTCATTTCTCAATAATGTAAGTAATGTAGTTTACTTTTATAGAATACATTCTGAATTAATTGATAGACAGCATCACCTGATGGACTAGGCAACATTTGTGGTTATAAGTGATTATAATCTACTATTTGATATAGCCTATAT